AATGTGTTATTAACAATTTTTGACTGGCGAATTTTTAGTTAAATTTTGTGTAAGTGATTGACGGAAAGAGTTTTTTAATTTATAAATTTTATAATAATTAGCTATGGATAATAATAAAGTTTTATGCACTTATATATTTTGCATGCAAGAAACTAATAGTTGTGGCAAATTAATAAGTGTCTCTTCTCGAACAAGGCATAGGTAACGAGAAAAAATCTTTAAAATTTTTTTCTAATTTCAAATAATACATCTAATAATATTTTAAATAATCAAAGAAATATTGTTAGTATGGAGGATATTGAGGAAAATATTGAACAAAGTAAGATATATTTTTTAGATTATTTTGAATTAATTATTTTTAAAATTGAATTAATTTTTTAAATTTTTTAGATTTAGAAAATGAGGAATTGGATGATTATGAATTGAAAGAGAATGAATTAGAAGAGAATGAATCAGAAGAGAATAAATCAGAGAAGAATAAATCAGAAGAGGGTGAATCAAAGAAGGATGAATTAGAAAAGGATGAATTAGAGCAGGATGAATTAGAGGAGGATGAATTAGAGGAGGATGAATTGGAGGAGGATGAATTGGAGGAAGATGAATTAGAGGAGGATAAATTGGAGGAGAATGAATCAGAAAGTAGTGAAAAAATAAATTTTGAATCAGAAGAGAATTTTGATAATGTTAAATTTAATGGTTATTATTTTTAATATTTTATTTAAAAAATGTTTTTTTAAAAATTATTATATTAATATTTTTATATTTTAGATTTATCAAATGAAATAATTAAAGGGCTTCAGCTTCTTTATATCAAAGATAAACATACAATTTCTGATCAAGCATTTAATGAAATATTAGAAATTTTTAATATTTCTAATATTTCTCTTTATTGGCTTCGAAAAGTTTTAGGAAATTTGGTTTCACTAGAACCAAAGCTTATAGATATTTGTTGGAATTCTTGCTGTGCATTTACTGGACAAAATGCTAATCTTAATACATGTCCTATATATAAAGAGTCACGATATACAACTAAAAAAAAATCTAAAAAATCTCGAAAACAATTAGCATATTTTTCAATAACAGATAGCTTAAAATTACAATATAAAAATCCATCACGAGCAAAAGATCTTAGATATCGGTATGAATATACATCAAGAAAAGAATATACTTCTGAGAATAGCAAAATTGGGGATGTTTTTGATGGTAATAGATATAAAACTTTAGTAGCATCAGGCTTATTTTTAGATTATAGAGATGTTGCTTTAATGGCATCTATGGATGGCTATCAAATTTTTAAGCAAAAACGAAATGGCTGTTAGATAATTTTGCTTTTAAATACAAATCTTCCACCATCAAAAAGAGTAAAAAAAGAAAACTTAATAATTAATATGGTTATATCTGGACCAAAATCTCCAAAAGATTTTAATAGTTTTTTATGACCATTAGTTGATGAATTAAAGCAACTTGAATGTAATTTTTTTTTTAAATTTTAAATTATATGATTAATAGTATTAAATATATTAATTAAATTAAAATTTTGTAGGTGGTATAATTTGTTATGATACAATATTAAAAGAGACATTTAAATTACATAGCTATATTCTTTTATGGTCTGGAGATATTCCTGCTTTATTTAAAGTTATGTATCTTTCAGGCCATAATGCTAAATATGGATGCCGATATTGTTATATAAAAGGATCTTATTCTAAAACTGCTAGACATATGTATTATCCACTTCAATCATTACAAGAATATAATAATTATGATCCAGAAAATTTACCAATGCGTTCTCATAATAGTTATATTCTAGATAGTAATGAATGCAAAAAAGGTAAGTTTTATTATTAAATTAATTAAATTTTAACTTATTTTAATTAATTAATTTATTTATTATATTAATAGGTATAAATGGATATAGTATATTATTTGAATTATCTTCAATGAATTTTCCTTTATCATTTCCAGTAGATATTATGCATGCACTTTTTGAAAATGTTGCTCCTCATATGTTTCGTCACTTTATAGGAAAATTTTTTAAAAATGAAAATTTAAATAATACTGAATATAAAATTTCAAAAAATAATTGGAATGAAATTGAAAAAATAATTGAATATAATAAGAAAACAATGCCAACAGATTTTGGTAGACCTCTTATTAATATTCAAAAATATTATTTATCTTTTAAAGCTGAGGAGTGGTGTAATTGGATAATTTTGTATTCAATTCCACTTTTGTATAAATATCTTCCAGAAAAGTAATTAGTTTTAATAATTTATAAATTTAAAAATTGTTATTATAAATAATTATTAAATTTTATTAAATTTATAGATATTTAAATGGATGGTTAAATTTTGTTAATGCAACAAAATTATGTCTTAATCAAACTTTATCAAAAGATGAACTTAAAGAAATCAAAATACTATTTATCAAATTTATTAAACATTATGAACAGTAAGTTTTTAAAACATAATTTTATAAAATAATATTTTTAAAATTTTAATTAATTTATTTTTTTAGAGAATATTATCAAAAAAAATCTGAACGTTTACAGGCAACTCTTATTAGTTTTTATTATCTTTTACATATTGTAGAATCAATTTATGAAACTGGTCCAGCATGGGCAACATGGCAATTTCCAATAGAAAGATTATGTGGAATGCTAATTCCTTTAGTTAATTCTCATATATATCTATATAAAAATTTAATAAACCAATTAACTATGTGGACACGTTTTGCACATTTACAATATAATAATAAATATAACCAGCAAATTTTTAAATCAAATTTTAATGAATCTTTTAATAAAGAAAAATTATTTTTTTTATCAAAAGAATATATAATGACAAAAGGAGAAATTCAAAAAATTAAACAATATTATGCAACTGAATTTAATTTACCATTAAAAGATATAGAGGTAAATATTTTTATTTATTATAAAACGTACCTATAGTGGTTGTGCATCTACTTTATATTTTATTATATTTTTTAGATTTTTTAAATTTAATTAAATTTATATATTTGAAAATTTAGATTAATACTACTAAAATTTACAAATACAGCAAATTAAAAACAAATTCTGGATCAATTATTAGTTCATTATTTTCTAATAATGATGAAGATATAAAAAGAAACAATTATTCAATTGCAGTATGTAATTATTTTTAAATTATAAAATATTTTTGTAATTATATTTAATTATAAAAAATATAAATATTTTATAATTATTATAGGCAAAATTTCTTGTTGATAAAAATGCATATCTTCCAAAAGCACCTGTTGTTTTTGAAGAACAAGATTTTTATAGTCAAATTTTATATTATTTTACTTATAAATATGAAAATGAAACAAATTTATTAGCTTATATACATTGGGTAAGAAATATAGAAATCTTAAGAAATAATATAAAATTATTTCGATATTTTGGTGAAAAGAGTATTATTAATATAACTGCAATTAATCGTTGTGTAGGTTTTTTAAATATAGAAAAAAATAAATATATTATTATAGATAATGAAAATCAAATAATATTTTAAAAATATTTTAAAATATTTTAAAATATATTTGGTTTGAATAATTTAGTCAAGCTAAAATAAAATTACTTTTATATTTTTATTATTAAAATTTTCTAATTTTAATACGAATTATTTCCTTTATTTTTTCCAGAATATACTTATTATTAAAATTTTTAATTTATATATAAAAATAAAATCGAATTATTTCCCTTAGTTTTTCTGGAATATATTTTATAATTAAAATTTTCTAATTCAAATATAAAATGTTTTTGAAATACTTTTGGAATACTTTTTGTAACAAAAATTTATACAATATTTTAAGATCCTTAATTGGAATATAATTAGAATATTACTAAAATATCTAATTAAAATCGGAATATAACGACTAAAAATTTTTTATAGGCACTCGATTCTCGTTTAGTTTGCTTTTGGTGTCTAGTTCCCAGATGATAATTCTTTATATAGCATTGTTAAAAATCTGTGCTACCTCTCTACGCAGGACTTTCCGAGCAGACTTTCATATCCCCAATCCCTTGGATTTATTTGGCTTCTTCACTCAGGTTTCATGTAACTCATGCATTATACTACATTTCACAACCTCCCAATAGAGTTGGTAAGACCAAAGTTACAGGTGCTGATCTCATCAACATGTCATACAGTTTTACTATAACGCATTTCTGCAAATTCGAATTTCATTGCCAGTAGGATTCAAACTTTTGTCCTGTCGCTTGAAGGTGTGACAACTTACTAACTACACTAAGTTGCTACACTCTACTTATATAAGACCTATTCTCAAGACTAAAATATATATTTATAAAAATAAAATAACTAAATATACAGTAAGAATTAATTGTCTTTTTAATTTAGAGTATATATGCTGATAAAATTATTTTGTGATCTAAAACCCAAAATTAAAATTTGAAGATGAAATTGTTTTTAACTTATTTTCTTAAAAGACAAAATTTTTTAATACTTTTTTTAAAAAAACAAAATTATAAATAATATAACTACCTAAATTAGATTTGCTTTTACATATAAAAATTTAATTTGCTCTAATAAAGATGAATTAGAGTTTTTTTCAAATCTATTTTGGTACTATATATTGCCGAAAATAAGCTACTACTGAAAATAAGCTATTTTGCAGTATTTTTTTAAGAAATATAAAAATTTGCAAATTGTTTTTATATATAAAACTCAAAATTTTACTAAGTAAACTGGCTTTTATCTCTTAACTGAATTTGTTTAACTCATCAAGTTGCATATATTTTAAAAGTTTTACCCAATTTAGACAAATATCCATGAAGATATTTTAATTTTTCTAAAAAATTTAATATTTTGAAAATAAGCTATTTGTAAAATTTTTGTGTAACTTTTTGGCCAAAATGGTAGCTTATTTTTGATCACATATGTAATATATATATAGATATAAAACACTATAGATGTTTTTTACTGTAGTAAAATTTATAAAATTTGATTATATTATAATACTTTTAAATAGGTTTAGATCCCATAGCTTAGTAATTAAGCTCTCAAACCCCTACAGACAAGGTTGATGGTTCAAGTCGAGCTGGAAGCAAATTATTTAATTTGTCTCTGTAACCTTAGGGAGCCATAATTGAATGCAAAGCCCTGTGGCTAAGTCTAAGTGCAAGTATGATTCTGAAATAGGAAGTTCTGGAAAGAAATCCAAATGTGAAGGGTGGACACTATGTGTAACAGTGGTATTACAGAAGACTGCGGCTATGAAGATTGCACAAGTAAGTTCTTTGAGACAAAGCAGCACCAACATCCTTGTATCTTCAGTTTAGGCAATCCAACATCTTTATACCCAACTTGTGGAGTACTTGCTTGGAAGGGTAGTCAATAAACTGCATGAATTAGTCTTTATCTGGATTGAAAATACAGGTACTTGATTGGAAGAGTAATTATCATTACCAAAAGTTAGAGTAGTGAGAAAAGTGGTGAATATATGGACAGACTGTAATAAAGAATTGGCCTTATCAGAAGCAGAAGCACCTCTGGCAGTGCAGAATAGAAATACTATAGAAAAGCAAGAATATGAAGGTTGTCTAACATTCTGAGTACATATAAAAGTACTGAATCAGGCTCCGGTCATACCTATATAGAAGTCTATAACAAACAAGTTTAAGATCTACCAACCTCTGGTGTTTATAATTCAGATAGTAGTACAGCATCACTGGGGTCAATATAACTCCCTGAATATAATCAAAATTGTCCTGGTCTTGTATAATAACATGCTGAGAGCAAATATAATATGGTAGTATAGTGTCACTAAAGTTGATATAACTCCTTAGATACAATCAGAATTGTCCTGTATATCTATGAAATAAGTCTTAAACCCCACTATAGCAGGTAGTACTTAAAAGAATAGAGGAATGCACTGAGCAACTATATAACATTAAGACCTGAGGCATCTGTGGTTAAACTGCAGCAGCAGAAGCTGGCTTGAGATACAAGTTAGTAGTACTTGGGCAAAAATGTGGAAAGGAATACCCGTTAACGAAATACCAACTCTGTTATATGATGAACCTAATTAGGCAGCAGTTTCTGGCTTAAGATACGAGTTCCTGCAAATCCTAGACCTTTGTTGGAATTTTCTTAGAAGAACTAATAACATGGCACACCAAACTGGGAGATTATCAGAATCTATAATCTGAATATTACCAATTTGGAAGTTATATAGAAGCGAAAAGGTGGGTGATGCAGAGAACATAGTTTAGCTAGATATAGTGGTTTCAGAATACAGGAGTAGTATCGAATACAGGTCTAATCCTCCTCACCAATGGGCAGTTTAATAGTAATATCTTTTCAGAGTGGGAGTTACTCTGACTGCTAGTGTTGATTTTAGGCATAGTGTGCTGCTGGTGCAACTAGAATATATTTGGGCACCCATTAGAGCAGCTGGATAAAGGTCGAATAGCTGATTGGATTAGCATAGCCTAGTAATAGATTGTAATATAGTTCAAAAATTATATATGTATCTACAGATAGATCTAATAAAGGCTTCACCGGCTTTCCTAGCTAAGTTTAAAAAAAATATATATATATATAATACTTTTAAATATATAATAATTTATCTATATGATAAAAAATATATTTAACCAAAAGTCTACTTTAATATAAAAAAAGATAATAAGTTTCTAATAAAATAATTACTATAAATAATTAATAATATTACTTTTATATTTATTAGATTTATATAAAAAAAAATATAAAGTGAAGAGTATAGTAACTTAATAAAGTGATGAAGTTGTTATACCTTTAAGCAATCAAATATAAGTTCAATTCTTATAAAAAATGAAAATTGAATTTTGAAAAAATCAGATTAACAACTATCATTGTAGCTGAGAAAATTTAAAACACTGTAATTGTGATTATATCAAGTAATAGTTATGCTAGAATTAGAAGATATTAATGCATTTATATAATAAAGAAGTTATATAAAGATATGCAAATTGGTTTAGTCAGTACAAACTTTTGATAAGTATTTAGGATTACAAAAAGTTCAAAGCTGATATAACAATAAGATATTTGTTTAGCAAGTTCTGAATAAAGAGATAATATAAACTTTTGATAGTACTAAAATAAGCAACATCTAATACTGGTCAAATATATAAAAATCAACTTAGCCAAATGTTAATAAATATCGACCTAAAAATAATCTAAAATCGTCTATATAAAAAAAAATCAAACCAAAAAATTCTAAAATCGTCTATATAAAAAAA